AAAAAAAAAAAAAAATTGTTCAGTAGATCTCAGACAGCGCAAATTAGTATTACAATTCAGAAAAATCAAATGACTGACCTTTGAGAAGTTCATAGTTAAATACTCCACGCAGAACAAACTTCTTGACCCATAAGTTTCCCTTCAGCACTCCCATCACTAAGATTGTGCAAAGCAGCATATCTTCCCCACCCAAAAACAATATTGCCCCTCACAAAGTCTATTATGAGAAATTTCAAAAATTTCCCTCAATTCAAGCCTGCTTCTTAAAGTTATCACTTTCAACAAACGAAACTTCAAGTGATAACTTCAGTTACATTATCAGACCTCAAACAAAGCATTAAATATCATAATGAATTTCTTCGTAAATAAATTCAACGTTCAAAAGACTGCTTAAAGAAAAGCAGCACTACTCATAGAGTAATTTTCATTTCTCTCCAATAAAATCTAATCACTCTGTTACCATAAATAGCCCATTTATACACGTCATTTATGAAAAAACCTACTTTTTTGGTAAAATGAATGTTGAATTCTATTTTGAAGCATTACAATTTTGAGAATTGAAAATGAATCAAAAATATAAAAAGTTGAACAAAGGCAGTACAATTAATACGTACTTTGTAATATACGCAGTACAATTTTTTAATCATTTAAAGTCTTCTCAGTGTTAAAATACAATAGTTCACATTTAATAAAGTTTTTATTAACACACAGTACCATGATTGGAAACGCTATTTCCATTATATTTCAACACTGAAAAGTAATTGCAAGTTACAAAGGAATTCAGAAATGTCAATCAGTGATGCGAACAATAACGAACAGTCATATAAATTACAAAAAATGCAATATGTACAAATAAAGTAGAACACTGATTTAATAATTCAATTAAATGAGAAGGAGCTTATTATTTACACGCCCTCTTATCACAACCTCTAACTTTGGTACACGTGCCTTCTCATAGTTCAAAAAAAAAGAATCATTGCTTATCTTTCATGGAAAATTGTGTTATTCCCTTCCTCCATTTCATCGAATGAAGTCTTCTTGATCCCACTGATTTACTTCTATATTTACCATGATTAAACACACATCGACTTCCTTCTCCTTCTGTCCTCAGCCTCCATAATATATGTCTGAAGCAGCTGATAAAACACTTATCATTTTTGGTTCCATACTTTGTATTATATTCTATTTTCTGAACTAGAAAGTAGCACATTATTTTTTCATATTCAATATTATTATATAACAATAACTTAAAATATTGCAATCACTTTCTAACCTTAAATCTTTTGAACACTTCGCGAGAATAATTTATCTACCGTAAATTACTTGAACGAGCTAGCTTCACTTCTACTACTCCAAGGCAACTAATTTCTAATGCTGAAATATATCAGTGATCAGACCGAAGTAATCATCAAAAACAGCAACTTTACGTTTTTTAACTTAAATTAAAAACTTACAGTGAGCACAGCTTTACATGAGTTCAGCGCACGGTGGTTCCCATTTTTATTTGACGCCTTGAAGCCATTTTCATCCGTTTCATTCGTTTGGCAAGGATGGACCAAGTTCTGATATGTGGATACAGCAAAAAACCTCAGCATTGACAAATATCTGAGGATTGGAATCAGCACTGTTGCTGGTGTCGGATTTACCATTCCATAAATCCTTATTAACAGTTCAAATTGTACCGGAAGTGAATGGTCAGTCTTGCTATATTTCTCGTAACTACCTTCGCCTGCCGTGAGTGGTTACTTTCCGCACCTGCTGCCCTCTGGTGTGATATTCGTTTCTCAGGCTCTCTCTTCGGAAGCGAGCCTTCATTGTCTATTGCCCCTTACAATTATATCAGGACAAACCATCGGTTAATAAAGCTGGAACTTCGCGATGCGATCAGCTATAGCTATGCAAATTCAGCAATCACTGAGGGCTTCTTTTCCAGGCTC